CGATCGCTGATTTGGCGAAGCATTGCTGTTGTTAATCTTCATACCTGCATCACATTGTTTCGCATCACAGGAAGTCACCATGACAAAGACACTCACTTGATTTACTAGAAGTTGAGGAAGACAATTCCATGGCCAACTTTATAAGAGGAAGTGGACGGAATGAGTATAAATTGTTGGAAGGAGAAAAATTAAATAAAAAAAGGAAGAAAGAGGGGGATAAAGAGAAGAGAAAGGGAGGGTGTAAATAAGTGTAGTTAAGAGAGTAGTTAACTAGTGTAAGGATGGTAAAGGACATAAAAAATGAGAGGGAGTGTAGAGGGGAAATTAGTAATTATCTAAATTATAGGAGAAAATTATAAATATAATAGATCTGGGTGGTATATAGGTAAAAAAGAGCAAGAAAGACCATACATACATAAGTAAAGGTTAATTTCACAAAAACCTCCCATATTATCCCCCACCAAAGTATAAACTTTTCCCATTAGACACTACTACATGTAATTGACAAATTACCCAAACATCCTGAGAAAAAAAATCATCAATTCTGAGCGGTAATATAACATGATCTATAACTGACAAATGACGGAATTGACAGTTTTTTAATCTCAGTTTTCAATTATATGAGGGGTGTGTTAAGAAAAATGTAAATTTCAGAGGGTTTGTGAGACACCCAAGGTCGAAGGGGCTTTATGAGATAAAAAAATTAGAGGGGTAATGTGCAAATCCCCCAAAGTTCAGGTGGTCTTCGAAATTAACCCACTTAATTTATTTAACAAACTAGCCGTTGGAGCTAAACCAAAGCCGAATATTTCCCTCGTCTCCAACGGTCCAAAATTTTTGAACCTTTCCCAAAAAAACCGTGGTGGGGTTCATTGCATCATTCCTCCAATAGACAATCTCCTCTTTAAGACAAACCCTCACTCTTCCAAGATCCCATCATCGATTCTCTCTCTAGAAAGAAGAAGGGATACAAAATTCATCTCTCCTTCTTTCTTCTCTTCAAAGGGGGGAAAAAGACAGTCTTGATAAAGAAAATCAAGAAGAGAAGAAATCAAATCAAAAGCAAAGATGTCTTATAGGGAGAATGCTCAAGATGACAACATCACCAGCAACATTTCTGTTGTCGCTCCTCCGCCATCAGCTGGGAAGCAATCTCCGCCGGTTGCTACGGGCTGCGACGGCCAGTCAGTCTTGAAGAGGTGCTTTCAGTCTCTTCTTAACTTTCATATTTTGTATTTTGGTTTTAGTATTAGAGAAATTGTTTCTAAAATGGGGGTTTCAGGATTTAATCATTTTATAAATGGGTTTTGTCTAGATTCATATTTTGATGTTCTTAAGGTCTGTCATTCTCTTTGCCTTCATCTTTCTTCTCCTTTGTTTTCAGTTTTTGAGATAATGAGTTTTTCCAACGTTTGATCTTTTTATAACGGGGGGTTTTCGAAGTTTGATGGTTTATAAGTGGGTTCTTTGAAATTAATCCATGTTGTCCTTCTCAGTCTCAGTTCACAGAAAAGGATATTATTATAAAGATCATTGATGGTTCAGTTAGTAAATTATTTTGTTGATTATAAATATTGTTCAAATGGTAGTTTTAAGAATCCTAGCGTCATTGTATCTGCCCATTTCTGATCAATTTTCTTAATTATTTTTTTTCCCTGACAAAAACAGGCTACAATCTGAGCTAATGTCCTTAATGGTAAGACCAACAAGACCAACCCAAACTCACTTCCTACATCAATCAACAATCATGCCAATCACCTTCTAACTTAAAATTTTCTCAATATCTCAATCTGTTCAGATGTGTGGAGATCCGGGCATCTCGGCTTTCCCTGAAGGAGACAACATCTTCAACTGGAAAGGAACAATCACAGGCAGCAAAGACACAGTGTACGAGGGAATGATATACAAACTGTGTCTTTCTTTTCCAACGGATTATCCATTCAAACCCCCAAAAGTGAAGTTTGAGACTGCCTGTTTTCATCCCAATGTCGATGTTCTGGGAAACATTTGCTTGGATATCCTTCAGGATAAATGGTCGTCTGCTTATGATGTCCGAACTATTTTGCTCTCGATTCAGAGTCTCTTGGGAGGTAAAAGAAACAAAAAAAAAACATATGGTTTAGTTAGTTTGAGAAATTTGATTGTTAATCTTATGTTTGTTAATGCAGAGCCGAACAATGAATCACCACTGAATACTCAAGCTGCGGCGCTTTGGATCAATCAAGAAGGTTTGTAGTCATTGCTCCTTATTGCAATGTTTTTTGATATTTGGATTTGAAGGAATAATGTTTTATTTTTATTTTTTGTGTTTGCAGAGTTCAGGAAAATGGTGGAGAAGCTTTACAAGGCAGCCTAGTGTCAAGAGCATATTTTTTGCAGTTTGTGTTTGTCATACTGTTCAAATGTAAGGGAGAGACAAGGGTCTTGTATTATTGCTTATGTACTGATATGGGGAGAAAGGTTGTGTAATTTACACCCCCACCCATACCACCCCCCACTTCAAAACCCCGCGTCTACCCCACCCCAGCCAACAACCCCATTGTCAATCAATGACTTCATTCCCTTTTCTGATGAATTAGTTCCAATTCCGAAGAAAAATACTGTGCTATTTATAATGATATTCATTTGTAGTGATAATTATCATTTTCCATATCATCTCTCACTTTCTGGTGTATTACCTGGGATTGGTATATTTTGTTAACTCTAAGTACTAACGTGATATGTTACTCACCCCAAGTACTAACTCGGTATATCTTACTCCGGCGACGATAGTGTATATTATAAAGTGAGATGCCATTTGCAATCGCTGTTAACTCAATCCAAATATTGTTGAATTTAATCTAATAAATCTAATTGTGGGCACATATGATTAATCAATGTGTATTGCTATCTTTTAGGATAACCCACTAAAGTGATCAATCAAGTTGGGTTAATGGGTATTTAAATAAGTCATGGGGTTATATGTGCAGATATCAGGTTGTAATTGTGATTTGTTGAGCGGCCAAATTACAAAAGTACAACATCTATAAATAAGGGGTTATGGTCCCTAATCTAGGGTTACATTCTCTAATTCTCTTCACCCCCATCTAAGAGAGAAATTTGGCTATAGAGAAACCCTAAGGTTAGAAGATCCAAAACCCATCTCAGGTTCATCTATGGATTCAGGTATAAGCTTCCGCTCTTTTGATTCTTGTTAATCTCTTCGAATTAATCATTGGCTTATGGTTTTAGATCTCAAGTTTATTTTATGATTCAGATCTAACAAGTGGTATCAGAGCCACCTTTGATTAATTCTTAGGGATTTAAGTTCTTAAATTGGGTTTTTTTATCTTAAAATCTCTGTTTTTGGTTAAGATCTGTTCTCGGATAAACAGTAACGTTCGGATGAACAGTAAAGTTTTTTTCGGATGAACAGTGAAGTGTTTTTTCGGGTGAACAATAACTAAAAAATCACAGGTGAACAGTAAAATTTTGGAATTTTTTGGATTTTTCTTTGATTTTTCTTGGATCTGGTTTTGAAAATAAAAATCGAGGATTTTTTTGGGTTTGATCTTCGGTCCCGTGCTCCTCGCCGGCGAACTTTCGCTAGCGGCCTCGCTGTCAACTCCGACGGTGACGGCGGCGTCAGGAAACCCTAGTGTTTCAACCTCTTGGGTGCCGGAGCAATGGCGGCGGCGGTTTCAGTTTGAAACCCTAAGGGTTCGTGCGATTAATCGTGGCGAAAATTAAGGAGGTGGTTACCTCAACCGAACTTCGCGTTCGTTATAAGGTGAGCATCGCGCTCAATTTTAACGAACTTCGCGTTCGTTCTCAGGTGAGCCTCGCGCTCAACTCAGGTGAGCCTCGCGCTCAATTTAAACGAACTTAGCGTTCGTTCTCAGGTTGAGCCTCGCGCTCAAATTCAAACGAACTTAGCGTTCGTTCTCATGTGAGCCTCGCGCTCAACTCAGGTGAGCCTCGCGCTCAATTTAAACGAACTTAGCGTTCGTTCTCAGGTTGAGCCTCGCGCTCAAATTCAAACGAACTTAGCGTTCGTTCTCATGTGAGCCTCGCGCTCAACTCAGGTGAGCCTCGCGCTCAATTTAAACGAACTTAGCGTTCGTTCTCAGGTTGAGCCTCGCGCTCAAATTCAAACGAACTTAGCATTCGTTCTCAGGTGAGCCGCTCAATTTAAACGAACTTAGCGTTCGTTCTCAGGTTGAGCCTCGCGCTCAAATTCAAACGAACTTAGCATTCGTTCTCAGGTGAGCCTCACGCTCAATTCAAGTTGAGCCTCGCGCTTAGTTCTAAGGTGAGCATCGCGCTCAAATCAAACGAACCTCGCGTTTGTTCTAAGGTGAGCCTCGCGCTCAGTTCTAAGGTGAGCCTCGCGCTCAAATTATGTCGAACCTCGCGTTCGTTTTCAGTCGAACCTCGCGTTCAATTTTTCAAACGAACCTCGCGTTCGTTCTCAAGTTGAACCCTGTGTTCATTTTCAGACGAACCTCGCGTTCGTGCTTAAGTGAGTCTTGTACTCAATACAGTCGAACCTCGCGTTCGAAGTCAAGCGAACTTCATGTTCACTATGGTTAAGCCTCGGCTTTTCATGAGTCCACTTTGGTATACTTAATTTATTCAATTAAGTTATGGGCCCTAATTAAGCTATGAGACCCCAATTAAGTTTTTTGGAAATTCAGTTGATTTAAATTAAAACCTTTTAATTTAAATCTAATTTGGTTTTTAATCAATAATTTGGTTTTTAATCAATTATTTAATTCAAATATTATGACACTAAGGTATTAAGGTTGTCTCTCACTCCAATTGATTAATTAAAACAAGAAGTTGCCAAAGTAACCTCTCTTGTGTAGATTGTTCATGAGGAATGTGAGATGTTTGTGTGTATGCTTTCGTGTAAATATTTAATCGGCCCAAAGGAAGGTTAATATTTATTTAGATTGTATACACATCTGCGATGATAAACGTGTGACAATTATAAGGTTTACATGTGAATAATGAATCGATCCAAAGATAGTTTTATTATTTGACATGAGTTATTGTCAATGTTTGATCATTGCAATAATGTATCACTTACAAGTTAATATTACTGTCCAAAGACTTGATATTAATGTTGTGCCAGATATCTTGAGATGGGATTCGTCATTATTTAAATTTTATTGATTAATAATTATGGTTATTGATGTGAGCATTTTTTTATTTTATTTCAGCTAATGCATCTGCTGCAACAATTTCTGCTAACATCAATTCAATTCCCATGCTAAATGGGACAAATTTCAAGGTTTGGAAAGAGAACATACTAATTGTTCTTGGCTGCATGGATCTTGACTATGCATTAAGAACAGAACAACCCCAACCTCTCAATGCGGATAGCACTCCTGATGCAAAGAAGGAGTATGAGAAATAGGAGCGTTCAAATCGCATGAGTTTTATGATCATTAAGCGCGGCGTTCCGGAAGCCTTCAGGGGCATAGAATCCGAAGGGATTACTAAGGCTAAAGATTTCATTGCCGAAATTAAGAAGCGTTTTGTGAAAAATGATAAGGTAGAAACAAGTACGCTCTTAGCTCGCTTGATTTCAATGAAGTATAAGGGCAAAGAAAATATCAGGGAGTACATTATGGAAATGTCTCATATTGCTTCAAAGCTTAAGGCACTTAAACTCGATCTTTGTGATGAGTTATTGGTGCATCTGGTTTTGTTGTCTCTTCCTGCACAATTCAATCAGTTTAAGGTCAGTTATAACTGCCAAAAGGAGAAATGGACTCTAAATGAGCTCATTTCATACTGTGTGCAAGAAGAAGACAGATTGAAGCAAGATAAGACAGAAAGTTCTCATTTGGCCTATGCCTCTAAGGATAAGGGTAAGAAAAAAAAGAATGATAATGAAGCTGCTAAGGGTCCAGTTCAGAAGAAACAACATAAGGATAATCAGGGTTGTTTCTTCTGTAAGAAGCCTGGACATGTAAAGAAGGACTGTACAAAATATCACGCCTGGCGTGATAATAATGGTACGTTCCTTACTTTGGTCTGTTCTGAGGTTAATTTAGCTTCAGTACCTAGAAACACTTGGTGGTTAGACTCTGGTGCTACTACTCACATAAGTGTTTCTATGCAGGGTTGCTTGAGCTACCGAAAGCCAAGTGATGTTGAAAGACACATCTTTGTGGGCGACGGACAATCGGTAGATATGGAAGCAATTTGGCACTTTAGGTTGTTATTAGGAACTGGTTCTTATTTGGATTTGAAAGATACTTTTGTAATACCGTCTTTTAGACGGAATTTAATTTCTGTTTCTGTATTGGACAAATCAGGTTATTCTTGTTCATTTGGAAACAGTCAATTCAGTTTATCTTTTAATTCAAATATTGTGGGAACCGGTTACTTGAGTACTTATGACAACCTATATTTGCTCGATACAATTGCTTCTTATAATGAATCCTTACATGTGGAATCATGTGGTACTAAGCGTAAATTAAATAAGGAAAATTCGGCGACATTATGGCATAAGCGCTTGGGTCATATCTCAAAAGGTAGAGTTGAGCGTCTTGTGTCTGATGGCATTTTGGATTCCCTTGATTTTTCGGACTTCGACGTATGTGTTGAATGTATCAAGGGAAAACAGATCAAAGTTAAGAGATTAGGTGCCAACAAATCTTCGGATGTCTTAGAATTGATACATACGGATATTTATGGGTCATTCCCTACGGAATCCTGGAATGGTCAACAATATTTTATATCATTCATAGACGATTACTCACGTTATGGGCACCTATATCTTATTCATGAAAAATATGAGTCTTTGGACATGTTCAAATCCTATAAAACTGAAGTTGAGAATCAACTCAACAGAAGAATTAAAACCGTTAGATCTGATCGTGGTGGTGAGTACTACGGTAGATATGATGGTTCAGGTGAACAACGTCCAGAACCATTTGCTAGATACCTAGAGGAATGCGGTATCGTCCCACAGTACACTATGCCAGGTTCACCTAGCATGAATGGTGTAGCTAAAAGACGAAACAGGACTCTTAAGGATATGGTAAGAAGTATGATTGCTCATTCTTCTTTACCAGAGTCACTCTGGCGAGAAGCACTTAAGACAACAGCTTACATTCTGAACAGAGTACCAAGTAAAGCAGTTGCTAAAATACCTTATGAGCTTTGGATTGGTCGAAAGCCCAGTTTAAAGCATTTACATATTTGGGGATGTCCAGCTGAGGCAAGGCCTTATGGGCCAAATGAAAAGAAATTGGACTCCAAAACAGTTAGCAGCTACTTTATTGGGTACTCTGAATGCTCTAGGGGCTATAAGTTTTATGATCCCACACTAAGGAATATTTTTGAGACGGGAACAGCAACATTCTTTGAGGATGTTGAGTTTGGGGGAGAAATAAGGTTAGAGACATTGCTTTTGAGGAGGAATTGACTTCAGACCCAATCCATTCAGTTACTTGTGACAATATTCAGGTTCCTATACCTGTTGTTGCTCAAGAAGTAAATCTGGAACCTCAAGATGACAATGTTGAACAACTCCCTGTTCCAGAAGAACAAACTCAACAACCTCAAGAACCAGTGCCATTAAGGAGATCCACGAGAGAAAGGAGAAATGCTATTCCGGATGATTATATTGTATTTCTCCAAGAACATGAGGAAAGTAATGGAATGTTGGAAGATGATCCAATCAACTTCCTTCAGGCCATGAAAAGTTCTAACTCTCAATAGTGGATTGATGTTATGAATGAGGAGTACAAGTCTATGCAAGACAATAAGGTTTGGGAACTTGTCCCATTGCCAGAAGATGCAAAACCAATTGGTTGTAAATGGATTTTTAAAACCAAGCGGGGTGTAAATGGTAATGTGGAGAGGTATAAGGCACGTCTTGTGGCTAAAGGCTATACTCAAAACGAATGCATTGATTATACAAAGACTTTCTCTCCGGTTTCATCGAAAGACTCTTTCAGAACAATCATGACACTTGTTGCTCATTATGATCTTGAGTTACATCAGATGAATGTTAAGACTGCATTTCTCAATGGCGACATTGATGAGATGATCTATATGGTGCAACCAGAAAAACTTTGTGTCAGGAGACCCAAAGAATATGGTCTGCAAATTAAGGAAATCTATCTATGGACTCAAGTAAGCTCCTCGTCAATGGTATCATAAGTTTTAACAAATAATTATCTCGTTCGGTTTTGAGATGAACATTGTTGATAACTGTATATATCACAAGTTCAGTGGGAGTAAGTATATTTTTCTGGTTCTGTATGTCGATGACATATTGCTTGCCACTAATGATATAGGCATGTTGCACGAAACCAAGAGATTTCTATCAAAGAATTTTGAGATAAAAGATCTTGGGGACGCCTCTTTTATATTAGGGATCCAGATACATCGAGATCGCTCTCGGGGTATTCTTGGATTATCACAAAAGAGCTATATCGATAAGGTACTTAAAAGGTTTGGCATGCAAGATTGCAGACCAGGTGACACCCCTGTTGCTAAAGGAGACAAGTTTAGTCTCAATCAGTGCCCTAAAGGTAACCTTGAAATTCAGGAAATGCAGAAGATTCCTTATGCTTCGGCTGTAGGAAGTCTAATGTATGCTCAGGTATGTACGCGTCCGGATATTGCGTACATTGTCGGGATGTTAGGCAGATACTTAAGCAACCATGGTATGGATCATTGGATAGTAGTCAAAAGGGTTATGAGGTATCGTCAGAAAACAAAAGATTATATGCTCACATACAGAAAATCAGAACAGTTAGAGGTCATTGGGTATTCGGACTCTGATTTTGCTGGATGCCAAGATAGCAGAAAGTCTACATCAGGCTACATTTATATGTTAGTAGGAGGAGCTATATCATTCCTGGTTGTGAAAGAAAGGGTACAGAGTGGACAGATATCCATAGAGCACATTGGGACAAACTCCATGATAGCTGATCCTCTTACTAAGGGACTGCCACCTAAGGTCTTTCATGAGCATACTGCTCATATGGGTGTGGTATTATTTGAGGATATTATGTTTTAGTGGGAGTTTGTATTTGTGGTGCTTTATGTTTGGTTGTATTGTCTGATCAGAATAAAGTATTCAGTTAAGACACTCTGTTACATTATGTTTGGTTTTGACCTCACTAAGGAGGACCAGTTGAAAATAGACATGTACTGATCACATTGCATGTAATTTTCATACTGCACATCCATGATTGATCTATGTCGTTTGATTGTATTGGTATATGTGACCATTGATGGGTCGAGTCATTGATGGGTCGAGTCACGATAAATGTGACGAAGGCCGCTTTGATCCTATATTGATATAGTCAATGGACGAGATTGTTCGGAAATACCTTTTCAGTGATAGCAATTTTTGAGCTCATAAGGTTATACACAATTTAAGGAATCATATGGTGCCCAAGTGGGAGATTGTTGGATTTAATCTAATAAACCTAATTGTGGGCACATATGATTAATCAATGTGTATTGCTATCTTTTAGGATAACCCACTAAAGTGATCAATCAAGTTAGGTTAATGGGTATTTAAATAAGTCATGGGGTTATATATGCAGATACCAGGTTGTAATTGTGATTTGTTGAGGGGCCAAATTATAAAAGTATAACATCTATAAATAAGGGGTTATGGTCCCTAATCTAGGGTTACATTCTCTAATTCTCTTCACCCCCATCTAAGAGAGAAATTTGGCTATAGAGAAACCCTAAGGTTAGAAGATCCAAAACCCATCTCAGGTTCATCTATGGATTCAGGTATAAGCTTCCGCTCTTTTGATTCTTGTTAATCTCTTCGAATTAATCATTGGCTTATGGTTTTAGATCTCAAGTTTTATGATTCAGATCTAACAAATATATGCCTGCATTCATCTACATTGGCACCTCAAGTTAATTTCCAGCGAATGCTGGGTCAGAGTTCCAAAAAAAAAAAAACACTGATCCTTGATGATGGCATGTACACCAAAAGACGGAACTGATGCTAGTGAAACGAGATGGATGATCATATAATGGATGCGAAAAGTATACATTTCCCTTTACAGGAAGTTATTTTACATGATCATAATATGTAAATGGAAAATTTGGAAATCTATTTTACACGATCATATAACATTATAAGAGATCACTAACATCAAATGACGGAAATCTATTTTACACGATCATACGTAAAAGGAAGACCTCAACGCCCACCAGCTTTCGCACTTTCTTCCTTGGATCCAGCAGGGAACTGTTTCTGTTCCACCACAAGAAAGGCGTCATGGAGAGTAGCTTTCATCGAGATTGGAGAGCTCGTCCATGATCGAAGGAACCAGACAGCAGGTTTGTGACACCAACGCCATCTTCATCGTCAAAGGTTTCTTGCTAGTTCCTGATGTTGTCGACGGAGCCATGAAGCCGTCTTCACAAGCTCCCACCATTCAAGTGAAAAGTCCTCTCTACCTGTCGATATGCTGCTGCGATGGAAAAGGGGTGCGCTTGAATTCAGGGTTGATCTCCCTGTGTCAAATGCTACTGCTATGGTACTCATGGATTGGCTCAACTAGAAAAGGTAAAATGAAGCTATTAGAATGCAATTCTCTTCAGAAAATAAAGGATTTTTTTATTACATATAGTTCTTCAAAAAATATAATTGAAGCGAAGATCCCCTTGCTGACCTTTCACAATTGTAGAAGATAATATATAATAATACTATATTTAATATATATATTATATATATATATATATATATATATATAATATTATATACATATATATATAATATGATATATATTATATATATATATAGAGACAGAGAGAGAGATGAGAGAGTAGAAATGGAGAACATTGGTATCAAGTTGTTCTAAAACAATTGGTAGTGATGTGACCTAATCTTTACCCCTACATCACACCTCAAAGATAAAGCCTCAACCACCCTTTCACCAACTCAATGTAGATGTAGGGAACACAGTTAGGCCCACAAATTCACTACAAGTTGCATTGGCAGACTTACCTTACATCACACTCTCAAAGTAGAGTCAACCACCCCTTCACCAACTCCAATGTTCGATGTAGGGACAAGATTACCCGGCTCCACATCCACTACCAAGTTGCTCTGCGAGCAACCTTGGTACCAAGTTTGCTCGTATTTTTCTCAATAATATATATATTACTATATATATATATAATATACTAATATATATATATTATATATAGATAAATATATTATTATATATATATAGTTAGAGCAGAGAGAGAGAGAGAGAGAGAGAGCAAGACTCCTGATCACTTAAGTTGAGTTCCAAACAAAAAGATTTGTAGCCACACATTTATTAATAGAAAACACTTTTTATATAATAAAAGGATCCCGATAGATAATATGACTGGCCGTTAAAAACTTTTTGGTGGAACCTATTCCCTATCCACTTAAGTTGACCAAGTTTTCATCATATATATATATATATACTATATATATATAATATATATATATATATATAATATAATATATTATATATAGTATATATATATATATAGTATATATATATATATATATTATATATATATATATATAATATATATATATATATATATATATATATAATATATATATTATATATATATATATATATTATCAAGAGCGTTTAGAGTCTATAGGCCATATTATGATATTAGGATGGACCAATTATCATGTCTCGATAAGGACGACGTATGTCTAAGGCGGAGCAATTGTAGTGCCCTAAATATTAGTCCCATATTGGGAAAATATGAGAAGCTTAAATGGCTTAAATAGATAACCTTAAGGCTCAAGCGTAGGTTAGGGGTTGTTTGGTTGGCTTTTTTTGTTTGGGTTTCCCTGTCAAAACTAACAAAAGCTGTCAATTTTGGCAGCTTTACTTGCAAAAACGTTCATTTTGGGGCGTTTTTGCAAGTAAAGCTGTCAAAACTGATAATTTTTGTTAGTTTTGACAGGAAAACAATGGCAAAAAATGTCAACCAAACAGCCCCTTAGAGAACTAATTTTTATAGTGGTTTAAGCCAAATAACATATTATACTTCGTGGATCCTACAGCTTAGATTGAAGCACGACGATATTCGAAGCGCAACATTTCTCTTTGTATTTTAGTTTTAATTTCGGCAAAAGGTATTTGATAACTTTGAATTGGTTACAATTACAGTTTGGCCTAATTAAAGAAGGAGCTTTGCTACATGGACTCAAAATATGGGACCAATAGGAGGGACAAGTGAGATGTCCCCATCCTATTAGATAATGAGTTGGCCATCATTAATGATGACTAACTCATTATCCAATAGAAGGGGGACACATCAATTGTCCTCCCTATTGGTCCCATATTTTAGATCCTTAATGAATTTTTCTTAAAGAAAGAAACAGTACATCCCACTTACTAAATTTATAAGCCTCTTAAAACTTCACTTTTAGTTCGGGTCCATTAGCCAGCTAGGTACTTAACTCATTGCATTTTAATTCGACTACACCTAGACTATTATAAACTACCCCTGCCATAGTTCTATATTACAAATCCTACCCTTCTATAAATACATCTTACAGGAATCAGCTGCCCTAGGTTGCGGGGTTTCTCTCGGTCCTTCGCACCCTTGCGGCTGCGTACAATTTCCACAATCGCGTAGAGAGAGAGAGGTGGGTTTTTTTCGCTAGGTTAGGGGCTGGCGACGGCGAAGATAACGATGATAAGCCCCCAAGAGCGGTCATCCTACGGCCCTCATCGTGCTAATCTCAGCCATGTAAACCCTAATAAATCAGTTCCTTTCCTATGTTTTCTTCCTCTTCTTCTTCTTCTTCTTCTTT